ATATTATAGTTATTACTATTCTTATATTATTATTATTATTATTAGTTTATATATTATTATTATTATTATTATTATTTATATTATTATTATTTTCTTACCTTTGTCTTGATCTCTGTTGTCGTTTGCTCGCCTGACGGAGCTCAACTGCAGCTGCCCTAAGAATAAAAAAGAGATAAATAAATAAATAAAAATAATAATAATACAAACAAAAACAAATATAAGTAATAATATAATGCGTAATAATATAAACAAACAAATAAAAATATAAATAATAATATTTTGATATTTTAAGACAAATCAATAAAAAAGAGAAAAATTATAGAATGTGTGTTGTGTTGTGTATATACACCGCAAAGATATAATATATATTATATATATTATATATAATGATGAGGACAAATTAAAAATAATTTTAATTTATTATTTCTTCTCTCTCCGTCTTACTTTGAATGTGCATGCGCTTCTTGCATTTGGGTTTCAATTGAATTGAGGGTTTCTCCTTGAGAGAAAATCAGATTAGCTAAATCTTTAAATATATGATTCGCCTGTAAAAAGAATTAAAACAAATAAACTGTAATGCAGCAGCATACGTACACCGCATAGAAAGTGAATAAAAGGCGATGAAAATATATCATTCAAATTCAAATTAAGTTAAATTAATTTAATTAAATTAATTTAATTTAATTTAATTAATTTAATTTAATTTAATTAATTTAATTTAATTTAATTTATTTAAATATATACCTGAGACACTTGTGCATGAATTCGTCTGATGCCTTGATATCGATCTTCAGCTACCGCGCGCTGTAGAAAGAAGAAATAAATATAAAATAAATATATAATAAATATAAAACAAAATAAATGAAGAGACAAAGCTTCAAGTAAATACAACAACAGTAGAAGTTATGTAATCTCAAACCAAAGAAAAACGAAATAAAAAAACAAAACCCTAAACCCTAAACCCTAAACCCTAAACCCTAAAGCAGCAAACAACAGAATATGGTAACAGATAAATACATATTTGAAATTAAAAAGAAAAAATAAAGAAAAGAAAAGCCCAATTAAGTATACTGTCTGCACGTTCCTAAACCCTAAACCCTAAACCCTAAACCCTAAACCCTAAACCCTACGGTAAGCAGCGCGTCGTTCTCCGAGACGAAATCAAATTCTCTGCAAACGCAGAAAGCAGCAGAGAAGGAGAAGATAAATAAATAAATAATATAAAAATTTAAATAAATAATATTAATATCTTAAAAGTAGATTATGCATGCAAATAGAGAAAGATATCAAAACAAAATAAATAAACATTCGCGTTTCTTCTCTTTCTCTATTTATAATTTAGGGTTTATACGCTCACATTAATAAATAAACAAATAATAAATAAAATATAAATACATACAAAAATAAATAATAATAATAATACATCAATCGAACCCATTTACAAAATAATTATTGAATAATAATAAACAAACATGTGAAGAAGATAATAGATAAAATAAACAAATAAATAAGTAAATAAAATAAATAAACAAATAATAATAAACAAATAAACTAACGTCATATCTCTTGTCTCAGGAGAAATAAATAAATTGTCTTCTCCTTCAACGCCTTCGTAGTCGCCAGCCTAAACAAAAATTCATTCATAGAATAAATAAACAAATTAAAATATAAAATAAATAAACAAAAATAAATAATAAATAAAATAAACAAACAAAAAGAAATAAATAAAATAAATAAATAAACGAAAAAATAAACAAACAGAATAAAATAAACAAATAAAATGAACAGAAAAAAATAAGTAAATAAGGTAAATAAATAAAATACATTTAAAAATAAATAAATAAAATAAACTAAATAAAATAAGTAAATAAATAAAACAAATAAAATAAATAAAGAGAGAAAGAAAGTCTTCTTACTCGTTCCATGTCCAGTATAAGGTTTGAAGCATCATGATTATAAATATTTGTATATTTTTCTTGTGTTTCTTCTTCTTTTTGTTTATTTTGTTTATCTTCTTTTTCTTCGTTTTCTTTCAACCCTCTTGAAGAAGTAAGACTTGTCTTTTCTGCTGCTGAGCGTACAGCTTCGCTTACTTCCTGCACTCTTCTTATCTAAACAAACAAAATAATAAAACTAATTTAAAATAAATAAATATATATATATATATATATATAAATCATTGCTTATATTGTTTATCTTATTTATATTGTTAGTATTATTATTATTGTTGTTTGTTTTATTATTATGGTTGTATATACATATATATATACATAATACAGGTAGAAGCATAATAAATAATTAGATATAATTAATTATAATTAGATAATTATAATATCAACAATAACAAAACAAAAGTAATAACAACAGTAATGATAATAATACATAAATAGATAGAAAAATAAAATAATTACAATAGCAATAATAATAAATACTAATAAATAAAAAATAAATACATAAATAAATAAATAAAGACAGACTTCTGATTGAAAATGAGAGAAAAGTTTGTCAAAAAGAAATTTCTCTTTTTGTCTCTCCGCTGTATTTTGTTGTCTCCCCTCCGCTTGCTGCTGCTCCTCCAGCCATCTGCACCATGCATCAAACCCTAAACCCTAAACCCTAAACCCTAAACCCTAAACCCTAGCTTTCTAAGCAACCCTATACAGCCCTACCCCTGAGCATAAACCCTTGCAACCTAAACCCTAATCCCTAAGCCCTAAACCCCTGGCAGTCTGAATCCCAAACCCTAAACCCTAAACCCTAAACCGACGTTTTGCTCTGCAGGTTGCTTCTGATGGTCTGGATGTTCGTTCGGATGATCACATCGTAGCCTCGAGTCCCTGAGCACAAACCCTAAACCCTAAACCCTAAACCCTAAACCCTAAACCATACCTGCGTATACACCCCAGCTGATCCTTGAATTTTCAGTATGCAACACCCTAAACCCCAAACCCTAAATCGTAAACCCCAAACCCTAAACCCTAAACCCCAAACCCTAAACACTAAACCCTAGGACGCACCAGATGACCGAGGAGCCTCTCTCTCATCTAAGAGTGGCCCCGTCTCTGGGGAAGGCCTTACAACGAAAGACATTTTTGTTTGTTTATTTGTTTGTTTGTTTGAATATTAAAATGCGAAGCATATGCCTCTATCCTCTGCAGCCTCGCACTCGCTGGCGAGGCCCAGCGAGGTGTACGTACACCCCGGAATACCGTAGAACGCGTACACTGTAGACTTTGCTGCCTCCCCTTCACTTGCAGATCCTTTTATTCGTTATTATACAATATAATAATGCACAGCTGTACAGTCAAAGTGATTGCTGGGGGCTTCGCGGTGCTGCAGCGACACTCTGAGGGAAGAAAAGATAAGAAGAAGAAACCAAATGGTTTATCTGAGGCTGCTGATGAAGGCCTGCAGCCTTAGATGCATTCGTTCTACTTGAGGTGTCTGTACAGCTAGAGGTAAATCCGTTCGAAACTGCTGCGGTCAACTGCGTCCAGTTGTTTGCTGTGGAGTTCTAGCAGATGATAAGAGAAGGGTAGAGAGATGAGCGTTGAGGTGTATGTTGAGATGAAGAGAAAAAACAAAGAGGAAAGGGCTTTCCGTGCACACTGTACAAGCAGCTGGCTTTGAGAAAGCTGAGGCTAGGAAGCCTAGGAATGATAGTTAGAGGGTTCTAGCCGCTTTAGGAGATGACGAATACCAAGAATAATATAATTAAAAGGATAAAGAGACAAATTCAGAAAATAAGAGTCATTCAATAGGGCTGTTAGCTGCGCCCTGTCGCTGGCGTTGCTCAGCCGATCTGTTGGGAAGCGAGAAGGAACGAGTGGAAACAAGAAGTTATTCTTGTTTGTCTCTCTATTTTGAGTCGTTTAAGTATAATAAAAGACTTAAATTTATATATTTATCCGCAAGATTCTCCAAAATCAGCTCATTTAAACCCTGTTTCCCCTCAGACAGTATACCCCAGCCAGCCTATGTTATTCAACAACGCCAACAACAACGAGGTGTATGTACACCGCAAATTGAGCATTGCATATCTTGTTGTTTGCAGCTTTTCTTCTGCATTCCTTTATTAATTCCTTTAATTATTTGTATATTTGTTGTATTTTTATTACTTTTATTTCCTTAAGGAAGGGAGAATGGCGCGCCCTTGTCGCGGATTCAACAGGGCCCCCACCCGTTTATCGTTACTAATAGGAGGTTTCTCTTGTTTGTTTTTCTCTCTTTTTCTCCTCCCGGTTTCTGCAATTATGTTTGATCTTCCACCTCAAACTCGTGAATGTTTTTTCGTGAAGACGTCGAAGCAAGAATCTGATCTAACAGGGTAAGAATATATGCATATAATCAATATGCATGCGCTACTTTTTGAATAATAAACAAGCTGTACACTAAACTTATTCTGAATAAATTATTTTTGTTGCTGTATAGACAAGCTTATGTCGTTGCATGCAACATAAAATATGCAATCAGAAGGCGATTGACAGCACCCCAAGACACAGAACAAGAACACTTAAGATAGTTTAAATGCATAAAGTGAAGTAGGAAAAACAAGCAGCAACATAAACAACAACAAACAGAAAGCTGTACAGAGTATCTGAATAGTAGACACTGAGTCGTCTAAGCGCAGTCTATAGTAATTAAAGATAAAAACAAAGACAAAGACGGGTGGTAGACAACACGAGAAAAGTATATACGAGACAGATAAATGCACCACGAGAACAGTAAAAAGAACTAATAAAGCAAATAATGCAGACAAAAACAAATAAATGCAGCAATTTGCAGTTTGCTGGCATTCAATTTATATACTTTATTTAAATTCACCTTCAGGTGTATAGGCAGCTGCCCAACTCCTCTTCCCTTGTCTCTCTTTCTCTTTATCAGTGTGCAGACACACAAAGTAAATGCATAAAAAGCTTCTCTTGTGGTTATATGTATATATGGAATCTGCATACAAATAAACATGTACGAATCTGCCTTTTAATGCATGCATGCATGCATGCATACATGCATGCATGCATGCATGCATGCGGTGTGCATACACCGCATACCTTTCTTACAATAAAATAAATAATAATAAATATTGAATATAAATCTACACTTTCTCTCCCTTATCGCATGCATGCATGCATGCATGGATATATATTGTGCATGCACGGGGTGTACGTACAGCTTGATAATAGCTTTTTTTTTCTGCATTTTTCTGTCAGATCTTATCAATCTTTCTTCGGAGATGGAAGCATTCGATTAACTGTCGAAGGCCCCGTCCCTGCACATCGAGCAAATGCTCAAATGCCCCCGCTAACGCCTATCTTCTCTTCTGTTGAAGAAGCAGCACATATACAGGCAGCTGTAAGTATATAATTTATATATATATATTACTTATATCAGTATGATTATTAGATATATATACATATATATATATTTGTTGTCTATATTCTCTTCTGTTGAAGAAACAGCACATACACAGGCAGCTAGAAG